GGGGTTATGAATAGATCAAATTCGGGTTACATTAATCGGGTCAGATTCAACTTCCAGCCCCCTAGGTCCATACCCATACCCATTGCAAGTAGTACACTTTGGTGGAAAAAAAAAAGAAAATCAGATTGTTGTTAGGTTCATAAAAAGTTGATTTGGGGTCAGATCCAGTATGAAGTATAGACTTTAACCCTAAACTGAGCCATACAGAAGGACAAGAGGAGGCACGGATCTGAAGCAATGTACGGGTTGAAAGTGGAGACAATCCGACCCGTTTGTAGACAATATGAAGGCTGAGGCGGGAAAAGGGGAACCTGAAGACTGAAGAGGGGGCAAAACAGCAGTTACCAATTACCATTTGTACTTGGGCGAATCAATGCTATGGCTCCAAAAGAAAAATTCTTTCTCCAGTTTCTCTACTCACAAGTCACACCCAGAAGCAAGGCCAGAACCAAAAACCACCAGACTGGAGCGGTGCACTACTCACCAAAACCAACCAACCAACTCAAACGATTCCCAGCTATCACGTGCCATTTGTTAACGTCCGCACGTGTTTAACTCTCATGGGTCCCGCATTCAATATTAATAATTTAATTAACATTAACAGTTAAAAAAAGCCCCCTCGTATTCTCTCTCTGCAACAAGCCAAGAACACAAAAATGCCACAAAACAAACTACACAAGCAGAGCAGAACAGAACAGAACAAAACAGAACACAGAACCCATGAAATGAAACAGAGAAAGTGAAGAAACCCAACTTTTGCTTTTTAATGCTCCTCTCTCTCACCTCTCTCACTCTATATATACATAACTCTCTCTCTCTCTCTCTCTCTCTCTCTCTCTTTCACTTTCTCACACACGCACTGCTTTATCTTTTCTGGAATCCGAGCTTCCTCTTTTCTCCTTTCTTTTTTATTTTAATTTGTTAGTAAATTATTTTGATTATTATTTTGAGGGAGGGGGAGTGGCGGATTTTGGTACGAGCTCCCAAGCATGATTTCCTGATGAAATGGCTGTACTGATGATGGCTAATAACAACATCAGTTGCAGCAAGAACAACAGCAGCAACAGCAAGGAAGAAAAACCAATTTTCCATGATTTTCTAGGCATGAGCTGTGCTTCCGATTCGCCTCCTCCTATAGCGGTGAAGAGTGTCGGTTTTGGTGGGGAAAGCCGTCCATCAGAGGCGTCTGCCTCGGCTTCTGTCTCTGTTGGAGCTTCTTCTGGTGGACATGGCCCGGTCTCTGCCACTTCTGATCTGGGTTCCGGTTAGTTCCTACTTTTATATTCAACCTTTAAATTTAGTCATTTTTCGTATTACTATTTTTCTTTAGTGAGTACTTTTGAATTTGATGGGTTTTGTAGGAGTTGATGAGTTCTTCATCTTCTTCCCTTCTTTAATTGTTTGGCTCACTTTTACATTTAACTTGCCTTATTCCGTTAATGGGGTAGTTATGCCGTTAATGGGTTTGGTAGCTCTCTCTCTCTCTCTCTCTGCCTGGATATGCATATTTCACTTTTCTCTTTTGAGACCTACTTTGTTTCCTGCTTGGGTTCTTTTAAGTGATCTCTGGTGGGTCGAAACTCCAAAATGTGTCTGTTGTTTCTTCTTCACCTGCTGTATTTGGTCTAAAAGGAACTTATAAAGTACAACTTCATCTTTAGTTTGAAGGTAGCGAGAGAGAAGATTGTAAAGTGCAACTTCTGTCCTCTAGATATCCTTTTCCCTATGAAATTTTCTTTACTCTTTTTTTCTTTTTCATGTTTGATTCCAAACCAACAAATTACTCCAAAATGTGCTGTTTTTTACCCTTTTAATGTCTTACTGGTGATTTCAGATTATCTGTCTTATTTGTTTTTTGGGTTCCTCTGTAATTTCGGGTTCATGGACACAAATATTGTTGAAATTGACTGGTTGTCTTGTTGAAACTATAAACCGTTAAGAATATATATTTCCTGGATAGAGGTTTGATGTAGTGAAATTGGAGTTTGGTTTTGTGTTTTCGTTCTTGGTAGAAAGGCAGGTGGGTAACCATTTTGAGGGGGTTCCGTTTTATGGCTCGAGGAGTGATTTCTCTGCGGCCGAGATAAATAATAGATTCCCAGGAAGAAAGAGGAGTAATTCAGATTCTATGTTTATGGGGTCAACAAAGGATAGAATGCCTCAACTAGGACAAGACTCCCTTGAAGGTTCTCACTTCTTGAAGGTTTGTGGAATATTTTTGTTCATGTTGTTCCTCTCTGGCTCCATTTAAGCCAAACATGGCTAAAATATGGTGGTCCATTCATATTCTGTCATTAACAATTGAGGCATCTGTATCCAGATATTCCGAAATGGAGCTGGGGGAGAGAAACCAAGAAGGTCCCATGATGAGGATCTGTTCTTTGGTATGCAACCTCCAAGGCCATCTTCTAATTCTCCAGTCTTATTGCATCAGCCTATTTGCAATAGACCTGATTCTGTTGGTTCCAAGTGGGAAAGATCTATGATGATGAGTGTGGGGCCCGTGATACAATACCCTCCGCCTATGGGGCAATATGCATCCTTTGTGGATAAGGTCTCTTCAAACAGATACAGAGAGGCCAATGCAGGTCCATCACTAATTTCTCAACCAGCTGCTGATGAAGGCTCTAGAACAGGCATTAAAGGGACTGGAATTTTGAGTGCCATTAATGCCAATAGTGGAACCACTGAGAGGAACTCATCTGGAGTGTCTCTGAGCTGCAACAGACTGAATTCTGGACCTCAAACTGCTGACCCTGAATCTTCGAATCCACCTAGGTAAAGTTATATTGCAATTTATTTGCTATTATGTTCTCCATTTTCAATCTACTCTACTTGGAATCTTAAGGAAAACTGATGTATCTTTTATTTGTTTGTTGTGTTGGCCAGTCGACATGGATTAACCTCTACTAGTCGGCAAATGACTATATTTTATGCAGGACAAGCACATGTTTTTGATGATGTTCACCCAAACAAGGTGAGTTTTCTGGTTGCTAATTGCAGCATATGTTCCAAATGGTATAATATTCCAAATCTCATATTGTTTAGTTTGTGAGGAATCAAATTGGTTTGGAATGAAGAGAGCACACAACTCAGTACCAATTTGATTAAGTCCTTCTGCATCTATTACAATTATATTATGTTATTATGATATCTTAGTGCTTAGTCTTGCATATGTAATAGTTATCCCATTAGAAAAGATAAGCTATCTAGCCTAATCCAACAAGGTTGTACTCTCAAATTTTGAGTTTAGATGTGCACATCAAATTATGGTCTTCTATTGAAATTATAACCTTAGATGTTTTGTTCCTTCTATATGTTCAACTTACTATCATGGAAATTAAACTTGGTAATTCTATTTGCTTATCTTCCTGAGGAAAGTGTCAATATCCATATTCTTTTGATTGAGGAAACTTTATGTGCATTGAGCTGACTTAATTAGCCATGTGCAACTATGTTACTCCATGTCGGTTACCCATATTCTGGTTAGTGGTTGTACACACATTTGTTTTATTGTAATATGCTTAATGACACAAACTCCAATGATTATTAGATGTATAGCAAACAATTGAAGTTGTCTTTTGAGATACTTGTGCTCCTCTTGAAGCTTGTCGTTAAAGATAACTAAAACAGTCATTAGGACATATAACTTCACCTTGAAAAAGATGCTTCAAGACTCAAGGAAAATAATTAACATCATTACAATTTGTCCAAGGAGATTCTAGATGACCAACTGGCTTGTTTGTTAAAAAAAAACTATTTCTCATATATCAACTTTACTAGCATAATCATTGCCATTCATGGGATTATTGTTCCAATCTTTGAATTTGTCTTCAAAAATTGCTACCTTAGAGTTTCAGAATTGCATCTTGCGGATACCTTCTGATTAATCCATTAATAAATTAGGAAATGGAAGATTTGTCTCTTGAATTGGCCAACATGTCCATTTCATAAAAGCAATTAGGGTTCCCATATCTTCATCTTTCTTTACCCCAAACAAAAGAGATGCTGTAGCTCAGTCACCATTAAAAACCAGGTGCAAATCCAAAATTCATAATGCCCCTTTCTCAAAGTTGATCTGGAAAATTCAAGCTTTCCCCAATAAGTTGTTCGTTTTCCGACACTGTCTCATGTTTTTCTGGATCAACTCCATGGCAATCAAATAAGAGCTTAGCTTTTATGCAGAACATTGGACAACAGTAGACTAATATATCATCAATATCATCACTTGTGCCTTCTATCTTTTTGACATAATGAGTTTTTGCCTTGAAGCTTGCAGTACTTGGGTTTTCCTGAACCTGCAATTAACAGAAGTACTCAAGATTGCATTCTATTTCCTAATAGAAATTAGTTTCTTGTATCAGTGCTCTACTTATTACATTAATAAATCAATTTATTTATCAAAGAAAATAGAAATTAGTTTCTTGATCAGCCATTGGAGGTTACAATTCATCATGTTTATCACAATTTAATGGTGTAGCCACTGCCCTTTCCAAGGTTGCTTCTGCTAACCATGTGCACCTGTGTTTTTCTCAAATTTCCCTCTTGAGCCCTTACAATAGGTAATGGGTTATTAAACACTTCATTTGATTCTATTGTAATAAAGATGCCTCTTTTCCAACTCCTGTGCTGTGTGTACACTTTGAACTTAGAATAGATTATTTCTTTCTTTCAGGCTGAAGCCAAACTAGGAATATAGTTACTTACACATGGGTAGTTTGGTCAGTTTAAGAGATTGAACTTGTGTCTTTTGATGTGTTTGATGGCTGTTCAGAATGAGGCAGTTATAGGACATTTTCAAATTTTCAGGCAGTGAGTTGTCCCCAACCTACAATTATGTAGCAGCCAAGGTTCAAAGTATCACTGATACAATATATATTGGTTTTCAGGGTCACCGATACCTTGAATACTTTGAACTGGTTATGGTTAAGGTTTAAATAAGAGTAATGATGCTGTGCTGTAGGTCTGTAAGTTGTCAGACCAAAAAATGAAAAAAAAAAAGGACTATCGTGATGAATATATTGATACTTTGAACCTTGGTAACAAGAAGTAATTTTTCCTATAAATTATGGGAGCAGGTCTGCTAGTCAGGTTGTTTAGTAAATTTTCCCAAACTAGATTGGAATCTTCCATGTGTCAATTATAAACCTTTCCTTTGGATAAAGTTTTATTTTCAAAATATAACTTTAAACAACTAATATTTGTTGAGGAAGCCATCAATATAAGGTGGGGCATAGGGATGATGTGGATTGGAATTGGATTGTTCACTCCTGGTCAATCCAGAGGCTCTCCTATGTGATGGATGGTCTATATCTGCCACATTGTCCCTTCCCATGCAGAAATGGGGTAGGTTGTTTAGGGAAGCTCTGTACTTGACCTCAACATGGAACCTTTTTTCTACATATTATATAAGCTCAAGCACATATTTAACTCAACTTTGAGCCAATATTTCAGACCAGGTTTGACCTTAGCCTCCAATTGCATGGGAGAGTCAGGCCTCAAAATTGAGAGGAAGAGATCATAGAGGTTGGCAGCCAAATCCCTAAAAATGAAAATGTTGGATATATTAGTATTGATTGTTGGCTGGGTTTTTCTTAGTTTTTGAGCTTACATTTTTGTTACTTGAGGTTATGGCACCATTGTATTAATTGTGTTGCTCTTTTCTCATTTGTTCATGTAGATTGAAGCTGATTGGAGTTGGGAGTTATGATATTCTGTTTTATACTATGAGGTGCTTTTATGTGTTGGCAAGGAACCTTTTGATATGTTTTCTAGTGCTTGTTTGTGTTGTGCTTGTGGATGTATTTTCCTTAATACTTATGTCTTTCCAAATTTAATTAAATTTCCAAGATGCAGGTATTTTATAAAAATGCTAATGCTTTGTAGTGTCTTTTCTTAGTAGGTAATGCTATAGAGTATCTTTAGTTGGTCTCTGTGCAGTATCTTATGTCATATTGGGTATGAGTAATTGAGTATGATACTGATACACTAAGCATGCACAGGGGTCTGGGTATCATAGGTAATAAATGGTTGTCCAATGTAGCATCCACCCTACTAAGGCCACATGTCATGGGCTATCATAGGCCCATCATTCTTTTAATTTTTTTATTCTAATGTAATAGCCACCTTACTAAGGGTAGTATACTAGTATTGTCCTTTTACATTCAGTTGAATATAATGAAAGATGAGGGTTGTATTCAGCTCTAGATGTATAGTGCTCTCCTTCAACCGTTCTTCTTCCTTCTTCTCTACTCTTACTTCCGAACCCCTCTACGCAATCACTTCTTTCCTTAAGTGGGTTTTGGCCAATCGCCAATGTGTGTAACTTTGTTTTATAAAAAAGAAAGAAAGAAAGTTTTAGTGATCAAAACTATAGAAGACATGCAAAGAGATGCCTAATTAGGTGAACCTTAGTGCTTCCATGGAAAAACCCTTGCCTTCTATAGATCCACCAGGTGATCCCTAAAACGATTGTCTCTCCCAGGCCCTAGGCGCAACCCTTTCAAAAGGTGCACGCCTGGGTGCCTAGTTGTGCGACTTGCACCTCAGCCCATGTGTGCGCCTTTTGAAAATTTGACGCTTTTTTTTTAACCTAGCGGCTAGGCCGGGGGCTCCACCCCCAAACCCTCGTTCATTCATTCAACCTAATAAAGTATCTACTTATAAAATTATAAAATGATTATTTTTTGTGTGAGAACTAAGAATTTAAGACCTTAACATGGACTTGTTTGCACTTGCCTCGAGGGGGTGGTACAAAGGCGTCTCATAGAATCAGGAATGTAATATGTTTTACATCACATTAGCTACTTAAAGTAATGCAATTGAGGAAAAAAAAGAGATTGTGGGTTTTACATGCTTGAAAATGTTTGATTTTATTTTTAAATTCTCATTTGAATATGCCTTGCATGTTATGTTTATGTATTTTAATTTTAGATTATAGGTTTTTAAAACATTTATTTTGAAATTTAAGTTTATATTTTTATTAATATTATGTTTAATATTTTTTTTTTTTTTTTTTGCCTTTTTTATTTTTCTGACACTTTTTTTTAACATTTTTTTTTTATTTTTGTGCCTTGCTTCAAAAAGGCGTGCGTGCCTCGCCTTGCACCTCGGGCGCAAATTGACCCCATGCCTTGCACTTAAAACATAGGGCCTTCGTTTGAGGAGATCAAGGTTTTTTTATTAGCACCTTCAAGCTCTCGAAATGCTATCATAGTAACAACACTCGACCTATAACATATCTTAACTAGGTTTGTGGACGAGGAAGAATTTCTCCTTGTATGGTTTAAAGAGGTCTTTTTACTCAAAGTTTTTTCTGTTGTGTCTTCAAATGGTTCCCTTATTTTTATCTTGGATGGGAACCGTAGATTATTCCTGTTTGGATCAATCTTCCTCACCAATTAATCTTTATAATGACAATTTTCTCAAGGCTATTGCATAGGTGGTTGGGAAGGTTCTTAGAATTGATCTTGCTACTGCCAAGTTAACAGGAATAATGGGTTCTAGGATCTGTGTCAAAGTTGATCTTTTAAAAGATCATCCTAATTGAGTTTGGATCGCTATGGGTAAGGTCATAAGGAAGGTTACTGGTAGAGGATCTTATATGAAAATTTATTGCACTCATTGTAACAAAATTGGACATGAGGAAAACGAAGGTAGGTGGAAGAAAAAACAGGTAGAAAGGGAAGGAAAGAGAGATGCTATTGCATATGAAATTGGTAAACAATCTAAATTTGACAAAACGAAAGAACAAGCAGTTTTGCCTACAAGAGGTGTCATTGAGATTGATCTTGATAGGGGTGCTGCTGAGCAACAAATCGATCAAGTCCAAAATGGTTTTTCCTCAAAGAAGGGTGATGATGTTCTACAAGTATCTTTGGAAGGTGTTTTATTAGAGAAGATTGGCTTTCAAACACTTGAGCAGGAACAACACCAGGTTCAAAATTTAGTTAGTGCTGTTAGCGAGCCTACACAAAATGTTGTTGTTCCTCTTACAAAGGATAGTATAAAAGATCCAAAGGATCCTCAAGAGAATTTACATGCCGTCAATTTAGAGATGAGGGATGATAGTGGTTTTCTTCAATCAAACAGGGGTGTTGGAAGTCAAGGCAATAGGAATCCACATGTCTTTGAACAACCTACAACAAACCATGAGGAAGGTGTCTTTGGTGCTTAACAAAATGTTGATATGGATCCCAAGAAGGGGCAAGAAATTCAAGACCTTGAAAGTCTTCGAGAAGAAAATGCTGTACTTCAGAACACTAATAAAAAATGAAGAAACAGGATTGTTGAAGGTATAAACTAAGTGTGGTGACGGAAGGCCAAAATATGTTTGGCCCATTGTGAAGCAAAGAGGTTGGGATGACATGGTAATTGGAGCTATTGCAACTCTTCAAAAGGGTCTTAACCAATCTCATTATTTTGGCATTCAAACTTATCAAACAAACCTTAAATCCTAATTGTGCAGTCACTCCTACGAGAGAAGTTGGTCACAATGGTGAGAAACCTATCAAGTAAGGTACATCCAAGGAAAAGAATGATCCAAATCAAGAATGTGTGACAGTGGAGAAGAAGAAAAAGAATTGCAAGTCTAAGGAGGATCTGGAGATGATAACCAACAATTAATCGGAAGCAGTTTGATAGTTGTTAAAACCAAACAAAGGTTATCACCCCCTTTTGCTTCTTGAGTTTTTTTAATATAGTTTAGTGTTTAGAGATTTCCGTCGTATAGTTTTGATGGTCATGTTTATGCCCCCTCCTTTTTTATTAATAAAGTTTTTCCTTATTGATAAAAAAAAATAAAGCTTTTCCTAAAAAAAAGATGGCTTATTGTAGTGAGGAAAAGAAAAAAACTTTTGAACCTCTCTACCTTTTTTTCTTCCATTAAAACCTATTGTTTTATTTTTTCTTGTCTCTAATTCTCATCTTGGTGTCAGAGCCTGTTTGACCAAGTGGTCTAGTGTTCGATCCTTGCCATCTCCATTATAATTAATTAAATTTCAGCACAAGGTACGGGTGAGCCTGTGCTTGTCCACGCTTCAAGCCCAATAGGCTTTTGCATGAGAGGGCGTGTTACTGAATAAAAACCTATTTCAAGCACCTCACCTAATAGCTTAAGCTTTTAGGTTGAACATTTCCTTGACAAAGCATAAGAAGAGTGGATGGAGATCCATCATGCTAATGGGTCACCTGTCAAGGAGATTTCTTGAGCCAAAATCAACTCCTTGCCATAACCATCTAAACTCTTATTGTGCTTGTCTAGGTGCTGAAGAAGCATATGGGGAAATTTTCAGGAAAAATTAGGTATTCATTATGGATGGGTATGTCAAGGTAGAAATATCTTGTCGAGGTGTGCTTGAAATGGTTAGACTGAAAAAATTTGTATATGTACATCTCAAAGACAAAAAGAATGTCTAATTCTCTAGTCAACAAGCTGCATAGTTGTTTTCACTATATGAGGTGTTAGAAACAAACTAACCATCTGACCATATAGTTCTTTTTTTACCATGTACTGTAACTCATTCTTCTAAAATAGTCTAGTTCATGTAAGCATGCAATATAGAAGGGCTTATTATTAGAATATGCTAATGTGCAAGGAAAAATTATATATGTGGAAAAAATGTTGGTAATATGAACTTGGTGGGGGTTCTTCTGGTTAGATGAACCCCGGAGTAGGGATGCAAACGGATTGGATCGGATTCGAATTGGGGTATATCCGATTCGATCTGGCAATACAAATCATAGATTCGATCGGATCTCACAAACATTGCTTTGAATTCGAATCCAATCCATTATGGTTGTTGGATATCTGAATATGATCCAATCCAATTTCTGAAAATTTTAATAAATTATTAAAAGGAAAAAACATAACAATTCATATAAAGAAAAACAGAAAATACAAGTATTTTTTCAACTATTTTCATCATATATATACATGTTTTTTTTATAAAAAAAGTATTAAAGTGCAATATAAACACACACTCACACATATGGTTGGATAGGGGGTGACCCGAATTCAATCCCATTATCTGATCCGATCCAAAAATCCGATAGAGGATCTCCAAATCCGACAAAATAGGATTGGATCAAATCATGATCCAATCCATTTGCACCCCTACCCGAAAGTACAAGACATGCTTATACACATCTTAGATGAAAAGTTATAGCTGTACGGGAATACATGGGTGTGTCTTAACTGACAGAATTTTATCTTATTTTGGAGTGGTTTCAAACAAGATGTGTATACATTTTAACTACATAGAAGTGAAAGAAGACTTCCAGATATGACATGCTGTCCAACAGGAGTGTATATGTAGATTAAAATTGTATTAATAGCAATTGAATGTATGTGTCTAGCATCATCATCATCATCATCATCTTTGCCTTATCCCAACTATATGGGGTCAGCCACATGAATCCTGTTTCACCATTTCATTCTATTTAGTGCCATATCCATTGTTAAATTATAAGTACTTAAATCATTTCTTACTACTTCAACCCATGTCCTTCTTGGTCTGCCCCTAGCCCTTCTAGCCCCTTTAACTTGCAATAGATCATTTCTTCTTTATATGTATCTAGCATGTAAATATGAAAAGTTCTAATACAGCTACGTTTCTGGAAATGCTTTGTTATTGTTACCTAGCTTGTACGCATTAGTTCTATGGTCTGTTATGGGCCTTTAGTTATTGGGCGTAAGCTTGTTTTATTTTGTACTGTCTAGGTGTCCCATCACTAATCAGGGGCATTCTAATCTTTTCTTGTAATATCATAATGTTAAAACAAATATTAGCTTCTAGGGACAGCTGAGAATAGACTATAGAAAGGTCTGTGTCTAGGGTTTCTCTTTGGGTGTAGGGACCAAAGAGAGTTTCCCCAGCCTGTTTATGCCATGATAGTTGTTCTACAGCAGCCAGTAGCCATTCGTCTACTAGAGAGATCTGTGTAGAACAGATGTAGGAAGGACTGAGCAGACAGTTCTAGTACATGACATACATATTAAACCTATGGATAACAATGGATAGACTTAAAAATGCTTCCTTTTGTTATAATTCCAAAGATGGTAGCACTAATCAGTCAAGTAGTTTGCACAACTCGGTGGATAATGTATACTTGGATGACTCTGATGCTGCCATCTCTAGTTCATTTTGGACTATACTATCATGCTGGAGGTACATGATGATTGGTTAGAGTTTATGTCTTGCACATGTGGTTTCACTTCCCTCTATCATTTCTCATTCTCTTTGTAATAATAAATAGCAGTGAATTATGCATGGACATTGTGATAGTAATTCACACAGAAAAGCATGATTTAGCTACAAATTACCATATGATATTCTAATACTTGTATCTCATGTCTCGTGTATAATATATATCAAATGACAGTATCGTGTTCCAATGTGAGATTAAGTTTCACACAAGAACATTTTTTAGATATTTCATACTTGTTACCATGTAATATTGTAATGCTTATATATCTCAGGTACATTGAACAACAAACAGACCCATATATATGAATAGAAAAATGCTAAGCATACAACTTTTTTTCTGTATATCTTACAAATGCACCAATCACACATCTAGAAAATCTGTAGGACCCACCTGTATTGACATTCAGTAGACCCATTTGAAATGAAGCATTATTACGGCTTACTGGTATAAGGTGCATTTATAAGGCATAAAGCAAATTCTCATGCTTAGTATTCCTCAGATGAATACTAATGTGCCAACCTATGTTACTCAAGTACATGGCTGGATATGGTTCTGGATACATAATTTACATTAAAAATTCAAGTATCCGACACAATGTGGCACTGTTGTACAAGAATCTGGTTATCATAGGTGCCGTACTGCCATTTTTCCAACTTATTAAATGAAACCATAGATCCTATTTTGTTCAAACTAATGATAATTTCTGTACTGCATGGAACATCATAAATTTATTATTGAGCAAAGATGGAATTGGTTAAAGAAGGATCAAATAATAAAGTTAGGCACATAAATTTGCTAATTACATTTTTATAAAATTAGCCCAAAAGGGTATCTGACATGCTTTTAGTATTTGGTTTTTGAGGCATTAGTTGTGTTTAACAATATACAATTCAGAGGCGAAATGTGTAACATATAGGTGCATTTCTTTGACCACTAACTTGGGGCTCTATATTCATTTGCAGGCAGATGTCATAATGGCTCTAGCTGGATCGAATGGGGGGTCATGGTCAACAACTTATTCACCAAAGTCTAGTGTGCGACCATGCCTTAATGAAGCTCATTTTCCTAATGAAGAGACTGGAATTGGTAAAAGCAACATGGGATTCCAACAGGAGTTGCGTGGGAGGTTACCAATTCCTGGGAGTTCCAGTCATGGAATCAATCAAGGTGGTCGGATTTCAACAATCCAAGTTGATCCTCGAATCTTATCCTCAGGTATGTAGTTGGAGTACATCTGTTTTGTGTGGCTTCTACCCTTAAATTGGCTGATACCAATTACCATATATGGGTTGTAGGGGCCCATCAAGGTGGCACTATAGTAAAGGAAACAAGTTCTCTGGCTCAAGCGGCAGAGGTTGATACGAAAGGAAAAAGAGAGGTAGGATCATAGGAAAGGTCAAAGGCATTCCATACTCCAATCCTATTGACAGTTTCTTGGAGTTTAAGTTGCCTTTGGTATCTCATGGGTTTTAAGTCTTATGTTTCAGCAGACATAAATCAACCGTAGGATTCAAGTTCAGAAAGCCATATCTCCTTACTTTACATTCCCTGATTTCATATTCTATTTGAATTGGTTCATTTTGCTCTTTGGCGTTTCCATTCCATGGTCTCAGTTGTTAGGGAAAAAGATGGTTATGTTCATCCGGCTATTATGAATCCAGGTGCATCTCTTCAAGCAAGTTCATTTCTGAAGGGTGTTAAACAAATTTCAAGTAACCAACTGGTGGTGGCTCAGTTGGTAGGTCTCTGGCTGGCTGGTTGTAGCGGAGACTTGGGATTGAATCCTGGTGCCACATGGATTGGGGGTTATGGGTATGGGGATTGGGGATGGGCTACCCCCGTTGTGTAGCCTCATGAGGCCATCAGGCCATGGAAAAAAGTGAATTCCATGTAGGAGCCACTCTAAAAGGAACTTTCTTGTGACTGATGTACACACGTTCCATGAGTGTGTAAATTAGTCACACCACCACCAGGTAATTTACACAAACCAAACCCAAATATTAGTTGGAGTAGGACCATCTGGGTTGGCCATATATATATGTTCACTCTCCCAGTTTGTGACTCCATATTAAGGCTTGCATACTTCTTACTCCCATTGATTTATCCTGTGCTTTTCACAAGGGTATCCCTGGTTTATGAAACTATGAAAGATAAGATGTTACTCAAATCAGTCATCAGACCCCTGCGGAGATTGTAGGCTTTGTAGCCTCTAGTATTTCAGACTTTTAATACAGAAAAAAATAAAATAAAGGAAAACAGGGCTTTTTATAAATGTCAGTTAAACACATGGTAGCAAAGGGCTTCAGGGTTCAAACTAGTCCCATGAATAGGGGTTGCACTGTTGCAGAGGAAAAGAGGTGAGAACTGGACCGAACGGAACAGAACAGACTGGATGGATGTTTCGTGGATCATAGGGTCTTGGAGGATCCTCAGAATGGTCTGATTACCTTTGGCTATCTGTACTGTAGTGATATGGAGAGGGGTGGAAGGCTGGAAGCCATTGGTGGGCTGATAACTGCTACAGCTATTGCTGTAGTCCGTGGCGGTGAGGTTGTGCTGAAGTTAAACTGAACTTGGGAAATAATGGTCATTGGGAGATGTTACCAATACATGGTTGGATGTTTTGTGGGGTGCGCTCTGTGAGGCGCAGGTGTAAATTCCGGTTTTGAGTGTAATTGGTACGTTGACAAGGGTAAAATGGATGAAACTCTGTTATATTCCACCTGTATACCTCTTATTGGACTGATTCATGTAGACCTGACAATCGGGTTGGGTCAAGTCAATTTTGGGTTGAGATGGCAATGGCTAGACCCTAACCCTAAATATTTAAGTTAGTGTTGTCAGACAATAGTTCAACTGCTTAGGGTCAGTTGGTCTTTGACCATGTCAATAACTTTTACCAAAAATATGGGTTTAAGCATCCAGATCGGATGGTTCTATTGTCTGGGCCAATACCGGCTTAAAAAGAGGCTTTTTTCAGGTTGGGTTGATTTTTTGGTAGGCTACGACTACAAACACAATATATGTATAGACTATAGGGACTTGGCTGTTTTTTTTTTTTTTTGTCATTCAAATCCAATTTTTTTGCCATTAATTTATTAATTGCTCCAATTTCTCAGTAGCTCCTCTTCAAATTTCTCTTATTGACTTTAAGTGTAAATTTTAAGGGATATATCAAAATACAATTTGGATATGCAAAAAATATGTCAAGAGTACAAACATAAAAAATATATACAGTATAAATACATACAAAATATAAGGTTTTGCATTCTATATATTTGTATTTCCACTCCTTCCAAACTGAGACATAATAATAATAATAATAATATAAGTTTATATATATATTAATGGTTTACAAAAGTGTCGATATATCAACAGAAAACAATTGGTAACACTTGGAAAGTGCATGAATATGCGGCAGACAAAGCATATCCCAATAATAGCCTTTTTAGGGGCCTGTTTGATAACAAATTAAATTTACTGCCCAACTTCAGCTTCAGCCATCAAGGAGTTCACAAGGCATGTAAAAACTTGTTCACTAAAATACAGATCAATAAATTTTTTTATTCAACCACTTCTGCCTTTTTTCAAATGGCCCCTATTACTCTTTCTCTTTCAATCTATATCTAGTAAAAATCTATGATGCTGGAGAGGTATGGAACCGAAAGACTTTTGACCAATCAAAACCCATCCATAAATTTTGATAAATAACATCTGATTGGTGACCATGTTTTTATACCAGTTGAATGGTCACAAGTTTTTTTGATATCATTCTTTCAGGTATCATAGTCAAACCCATTTAAAAGGAAAAAAGAGGAAGAGGTGAGGGGTCCTCTCACCACTTGGCTTAAAAAAAGTGTCCTCTCACCACAGAACTCACATGGACCTCCTCCTTTCATTTCTCCAAAATAAAATCTCTCATGTAGGAATGGCAATGGGGCAGGGCACCCCCGGCAAGGCACCCCGTCCCCACCCCGAAGTCACACCCCGTACCTGCCTCGTCCCCGGTGGCAGGGCGGGTTCTGGGTGGGGCATCCATTCCCCATCAAGGACTGGGAATCCCCGAATTTCCCCACTTCAAGGCAATTACTTAAAAATTATCTATTTTATGGACAATTTATACTTTAGGGGTAATTCAAAAATAAAATTATGGGATCTTAGGATTTTAAAAATTTAGGGAAAACTTAGAGATATTTTAAATATCAATATTAAATYTAGAGATATTTTACTAATTTACCTTAGGATTCGGAACATATTCGAAAAATTATATACAAAATCCGTCCCCACCCTGTACCCGATTCGGGAAAAAATTGTTTTCCTCAACCCCACCCCATCCTTGTTTATTGTTGGGGAAAAGCTGCCCCGTTTAGGGCGGGGCAGGGTGGGGCCCGGTTTTACGGAGGAAATTGCCATCCGTACTCTCATGAGTCTTCAGTGTCTTTTATAAAATCCATTTTACATTGGATTGATTAGGCTAAAGTCCAACCGGACCCTAGCTTGGACCCAAACTAACATCAAAACCCAAGTTAATCAAATTTCCATTTGACACCATATATTGCATGCTAGTAATTTCCATTTTCTCCAAGTGCCATTTAGTGGTGATTCTGAAGGGGACTTTGTTATTTCCCCCATGCCCTACATCAAGGTGTTATAGATGCCAATCCTGTGAACATGGGTGACGTTGAGTAGTAGTCTTTTGAACATGGAAAACAACCCCCGTGTCCCCTTTGGGTCCTAATTCCAAAATATCCCTCATCAAGATTAGTTACAACAGCCAAACGGCCTTGAAACCGTATATCCTCCAATGCTCTTCCAACTTAGAAATTATGAAAAAGATATTTATCAGGAAAAGACATGGAAATAAATCTTCATAAATCCATGTAATTCACAGAATTTAATGCAATACAAAAAAAAAAAAAAAAAAAAAAAAGAACAAAGCCTCTGTGTCTATGCATCTATTTATACGTAGGCGTCAACAGCTCGCTCTAGTAGAGCAGTTCCTCTTCTTCTTTTCTTCTGGGTCTTCTTCAGTTCACCCACCACTGATTCATCATTCATACAAGGATCAGTCTGGTCTTACCTTACCCTCCTTCAAAATCACCATGCAATCAGTCTCAGAACTCAGCAGCAACTCTCACCCTTCAAACCTCGACCACATTACTCCCATTGACTTCGAGTCCATCAAAGAGGTGCCTGAGTCATTCATCTGGCCGTTGCTCAGTGACTACCCATCCTGCAACTCAGCTGATATCGAACCAGTCCCCTCCATTGACCTCTGTGACCCTAAAGCCACAAAGCTGATGCGCCGAGCATGCGAGCGGTCTGGTGTCTTCCAAATCACCAACCATGGCATCCCCACACGCCTTCTTCACAAGCTTGAGTCCCAAGTCTGGCGCCTCTTCTCTCTCCCTACTGGCCAGAAGCTTAAGACCTTGCGATCACCAGACGGTTTCACAGGCTATGGCCTGGCTAACCATTCTTCTTTCTATCCAAAGCTTCTCTGGTCAGAGGGCTTCACCATTTTTGGCTCCCCAGTTGAACATGCACGCCAACTCTGGCCTCAAGACTACACCAACTTCTGGTAATGGCCTAAATGGGCCTTGACGTTTAGTATAGCCCATCACTATTCCTGGACTAAGCCCAGTCATGTATGTTCTAACTTGTAACAAAATTTTCATGGTGCAGTGATGTTATAGAAGAATACCAGAAGGAGATGAGCAAGCTATCAGGGAGGCTCACGGTGCTCCTGCTTAATTCACTAGGATTAACTACAGATGATCTTGAATGGGTTGGGGCGACCGGCGAAATCAATGGCGCACGCTCCGCGCTCCGGCTGAACTCCTACCCGCCTTGCCCGGAGCCGACCCGGGCTATGGGCCTAGCACCTCACACAGATTCATCCCTGTTCACAGTTATATATCAAAACGGCACCACTGGTCTCCAAGTGTCAGTGGAAGGGGTTGGGTGGGTAACTGTTCGTCCGGTGACGGGTGCCCTGGTTGTCAACGTTGGTGACATTTTACATATCATCTCTAACGGCCGGTTTGTGAGCTCGGTTCATCGTGCAGTTGTGGACCGAGCCCAGCATCGTCTGTCCATTGCTCACTTTTATGGGCCCCCAGTGAATGCCCAACTCTCCCCAGCAAAGAAGCTGGTTGACCCACCGGATCATCCCATTCTCTACCGGACTGTGACGTCGCAGGAGTATCTTGCCATCAAGGCAAAGCATTTCGACAAGGCGCTAGCTTTGATTCGCCATGCATAATATATACAAGGGATGAGATTGAGATATTAATCTTCAACATTCAACTGTTGTCTGTTGGTTTGGTCTACATTAATAAATATAAATATAAAGAATCGGTTCTTCTTATCCAATTAATGTAAATGTAAAAGCCCAGTCCCCGGCCGGCCAGTGGGGGATCAAATCAAATAATGAAATTTAGCTAATACGGCCCAAATTAAGGTCTTCACTCTTCATGCCTGGTATATATTTGTCCTTTCTAATTCTAAGCACTGAATAGCCAGCCAAAATGGTTTTCTCGGAGTTCAGGTTGGCTCAAGTTCTACTTGGGTCAGAGAAAGCTATATCTGAAAAGCTATTAAGAGATGATAAGCAAAACCAACAACAACAAAGTATATATTGACGGTTGACGCACGCGGTGAGAGAAGGTGAAGCATAACGCTTAACCGCCAACCTTGACAAAGAAGACAAGGACGGAAGCCTAACTACGTACATCATATAAAACATTAGAGTACTTTTCATGGAAATCACCAAAACAAAGAATTCGAAGCAGAGATAGAGAGAGAGAGAGAGAGAGAGAGAGAAAGATCAAATAAGTCCTTTGAGTGTCTCTTTATACCTCCAGGCTCCAGGGGACAAGGCATGTGCACTAAAATCAAGAGAGACAGAGCCCCTCTTCCCCCATGGAAAGCTGCTTCTCACATTCCTTTTTCTTCCATAAATTTGTTCCTTCTGTTGTTCCCTTCTGTCAACTATAACCAGCTCCAACATCACTTGAACACATAGATCGATCTCTTCCTGCAACAGCAGCTACCCTTGCCAACCTCTCTCTCTCTCTCTCTCTAATTAAGTTGATGTGATGTGTGGGGCGTGAAGGCTTCACCATAATGGGTAATGGGTTTACATATCATACACCATTAAGCATACCAAACAGACTGATAAAGCTATATATTATATCCTCCAGACCATCTTCATCATGCAGTAATACCTGCAGTAGCTGAAGAAGGCAGTAGGGAAAGCTACTGATTCATGCTTGGGTCTCATCAGGCTTAACTAGAGAAGATGGGAAGTGGGTAGGCCCATGCAACCGGTGAACCTGATGAATTATCCCCCTGGAGTTACGTTGCAAGCATGTCTGCCACTGCTACGGTTACCAGATCCAGATGATGATTCTTACCCGGCCTGACCAGACTTGAACCGGGGCCATGAGCCTAGCTAGTTGCACCATAATGGTACCTCCACTCTCTGGTGCTCTCACTCTGTCAATGTCGGCAACCGACCGGCTCCAAATCTGCTCTCCACCGTGCAGCCATTAACAAGACTAGCCACAGATTATCAATTACCTGACTTGATATGTCCCATCAACGACACCCGGATCCTGCCTTTCTCCAAAGCTATTTGAACCAACCAGTTGCTGGGGTATCAGCAATTATCAAAGCAAAACGTCTGTGTATATAAGAAGAGGCTCTCTACTCCTCTTTGTGATGTACCCATGAAGATCGATATATTCTATGAACAATTAAACATGATCAATGATTACAATGCATTAACTGATTTCATTCTTTCTTTCTTTTTACTTTATTAGCTAGATTAACTAATTGCCCTTTGTAACCCTTCATAGCATTCCATTCTAAAATCTAGAATTATTTTTGGTATTTCTTCTCATGATCAAAGGAAATTAATTAATTTACATTACTTCATGAAAACTCTACTTAAAATGCCTAAAAATTAAAACATGCAATCAACCTCTAATTAATTAGGAGTCATTCAGTAATTAATGTGGCTAACTAATAAAACGTTGATAGTTTCAATACACTAGGCTCCACTATGGCATAATTGAAATCACACCACAAGAACCACATCGCACTATGTTTTGTACTGTGGTTGGGACAATGTAGATACTTTGTCAGACAAAACTTTGAATAAAGTCACTTAGGAATTTATTGCAAAATTATATAAAAATGATTGTATCCATTGTGGCATAGATTGGTCCTCAAGATTTATGTGCCAATGATAAATAAATACTACATAGTGTGGATTAGATTCAGCCACGCCCTAAAACGAGGAACACTTTTTGCACCGTAGCACGGTCCATGCTATTTTGGAAATGAGCCACATTTTTGAACAACCCTTAAATCATACAATTCATACTTCAATACTTTGGTATCAGAAGCTGCTCTCTCTCTACAAAACACATCACTAAAATTATAGATAATCTTATTTTAACAGAATATGGTATTTGAATGGATAATAATTCCCACAATGATCTTTACAAAGAAAGGATAAATAAGCACTTAAAATGAAATTATGATAAGACAAGAAGAGATGTATAAATATCCTAGTCATTATTTGTAGGGGGTGTTCATAAAAAAAACGAAAAAATTGAACCGAGTTGATAAAACAGAACCAATCGGTTTARTATTTTTGAAAAACTAAAGGACCAATTCATTTTTCGGTTAACTTAAAAAAATTGACAGTTAAACAAATCAATCAGTATATATATACTACTAATAAAAGAGCGAATAGCCCTATTTTCTGGACTTTTCATTAGACATTTTTACCCCTTATCTAAGCAACATACAACGGGCATAAAAAAGGGCATATATGTTATTTACTCTCACTCCAAAAACTGCCCACTTATAACTGTTCATGAATTGTGAATAATTTTGTCTTGGATATACTCTCACGTGCAAATGCACGTACATGTTTACTAGTATATATATAATATATATGCATTATATAAATATATAATATTTTTAATAATCTATTTATAATATATTATATATATTTTTATAGTATTTATATATAATATAATATATTACATATATTTATATATTTATTTATAAAAACCAAAACCAGTCAACCAGTTGATCTGATTCAGTTTTAGTTCAGAAAATCTAAAAAACTGAAGAACCTTTTTTATTTCAAAATTTTGCCTGTAGTTTGATATATAAACGTGCCCAATCAACTAGCTAGACCTAAGTAGGTAAGGTGGAGCACTAAACCCAACCGGTTGACATCACAATGGAGCAAATGGATGATAAGAGTATATATATATAKAGAGAGAGAGAATTCCTTTTCCTTCTCTTTTCTTTTTCTATATAATCTTTTTTTATTTTCTACTTTAGGTAATGGAAACATGGAATGCTCTAGAACGTGGCCTAATATGAATGGTTTATGAATTTGTCTCAAAGAGGACAGGAGGTGCATGTTCATTTGTTTTGGAATGGATCACCAGAAGAAAAGAAAAAGAGAAAATTGAGGTGGGTCATAAGAAGAAAAGTTAGAAGAGGAATGTAATTCTAGTGAGAAAGGGATGATATAGTAATGGAATTATGGAGTCCCAAATAATTTCAGATTCCAAGGTCGACCCTACAGGTGGCAACTCAAGGGGGTCCCCATGTTGGCATTATCATCTCTTTATGTGGCAATATTCAGCTTGATATACAAACTCCCCACCACCAAAGTGCCAATGAGGCTCTCTTTTTGGGCAGTCGTTCAAATTTAAAATTTGAGAAACTGGTGATGTAATGGGCAAGAGAGTCCAATATATGGTGGGGTGTAGAATTGACCTGGACTAGAGACTCAACATGTGGCCAATCTCGGATTGTCGCCTACCTGATGGACACCTTTTGATGGATCTGGTCCAGTTGAGTCACCTGGGAAAAAGATCTGGTTAGTTCAAGATTCCATGTGGCAAAATAGCTATGGGCCTAAGGGGGCCACATATTTGTGAAATGACCCATTATCTCCCACATGCTAAGTTTCCACCTAACACCCCTCCCATGTGGCAACAGAATTGCCTTTTCTCTATGTTTTTTTTCTAAGATCATTGGATACACTTAGGGGTGAGCAAAAAAAATCGAAAAATCGAATCGATCAAAAAAATCAACCAAAACCGAATCGAAAAATTAGTTAACTGAACTGATCGATTCAGTTTCAGTTAACCAATATAAAAAACCGGCGGTTAATCGAACGGACCGGTATACATATATTTCTATATATTATATATTTATGTATAGTATATTATATATATATATATATATTATATATTTTTATATATTATAAATTAATAAATATGTATTATATATAATATGATATATTATTTATTATTTAAAATATTATATTATATATATTTATAATTTTTTATTATATATTTATAATATATTTTAAAAATTAAAAAACTAAAAAACCAACAAACCGAATCGATGATTAATCAAACCGATCAATCAGTTAACTGATTGACTTTGGTTCGATTTCAGTTACCGATTTTCTAAAAACCAATAGTACCAATTCGATTACAAAAAAAAAAAAAAAGCCCACGTTCAGTTAACCAAACCATGAGCACCCCTAGATACACCATTTCCCTATGGTGCTGGAATATCAAGATGTGAAAGGAACTACCTCCCACCCCCACACACAAAAGATAACTGGCATATGTTTTATTCTAAACAAGTAAAATTTGAAGAATATTTAGCTTATCTTATCCAATTTATCTAATAAATATGGATGATATTCCAAAACTTTCATTATTGAGGAAAGGGGAGGGGAGGAGATGAAATTTAACTATAAAATATTCAGTAAATTTCTTTGGATGATATTACCAAAAAAAAATTGACAAGGTGATTTCATAATTTATCAAGATAAGTTCCTTCTTACATGACATTTAGTGGATAAAATTTAAAGATATTGTCTAAATCTCAAAAATTTATCCAAAATAATTTTGTGGGGCAGATATTGATTGACAGACCAACTAAAATTTTGTATTTCTCTGTAAAATGCTTATAGTACGGCAGTGTGAAAAGAAAAGTACTTGAATTATTCCACAAAAATATCCAAAGTTTTAGGACAAGATTAGAGAAGTTTCAGCCCTTCAATAATATCCTCTCAAACAACAAAAAAAAATTGAAAGTGAATTAATTTAGCAAATATTTGTAATAAAATAAAGTGAAATGCTACAAGAAAAGTGTCGGTATGATCCTAGAAATCCCAAAATGGCAGCTAAGGTGTAGTAGCCAAAGGGTTCTTTTGTGTTCAAAAGGGGATAAATATAAGGTGAAGAGTTGTCTCACAAAAGAATGACAATCCAATTACATTATTCCATATAGTTGAAGAAAAATGTGAAACTAGACTTGACTTTGGGTTCCCCCCTTTTTTCCACAGAAAGGGTGATGAAAATCTTTTTGTTCCTTCCATTGTCTAATTAT